AAATCCCTAAAATCATTTTCCCTTCTTTAAAAACAAAAAGCAACCACAACTTTACACTCCCCAGGAAGAAAAAAGGTATAGCATCCCTGAAAGACAGGAGCACAGCAAAACCATCTGCAGTCTGAGCCAATGTTGCTCTTTGCTCCTGCTCCCTGCAGATGCACAGCTCTAGTCGGGGCTTTTTGCTCACTGTAGCCTGATAGACCTCTCCCTGCTCTCTAGCCATGTACTTGGTTCCTATGCTATCTAGTGTCTCTAACAGCTGCTGGCATGAAGGTACAGAGAGAGGGGGAAGTGTGGATAGGATGGAGGTGTTGGCCAGTGGGGAAGAGGCGGTGGGTGGGGATCCATGTAATTGCAAGGGAAACAGGGATAGCAGGAGCAAGGCTGGGGGGCAGGGGGCAGCAGGGTGTAGGGTGCAGTTGCGGGGACCCCTGTCTCAGGGGCAGAAGGGTGTAAAACTACTACTGCAGTCACACAGTTGCCAACACAAGGCATTTAAAAAAGTTACAGTAAAAACACACCGGGAAAAAAAACTATCAGTAAAAACTGTGTAGATTGTCTGTAAAAAAAATAATTCTTGGGTTGTCTCCCTGCACCAGAGACCCTTGTCAGCTCTCCTGCCCTATCACCTCCTGCTCCTGCCCCTTACCTTTGTCCAGGCGGACATCGTTACTCATGAGCTCCCAGTAAGTGTGCTGGTTGTCACTGGCCATCAACCCCTGCACGGATGTGATGTATGGGCCCAAGTTTGAATATTCATAAGTGAACCTACCAGAAAAAAAAAGAGTCCCACAGGAGACCCAGTGAATCCTCACTTCTACACAGGGCAGTCAGCAGGGATCCTCTCCCCTGACTACTGCTTTAGAGGGGCACGTGACCAAGAATACAGTGCAGCTGGAGGCCCATGTCCCTTCCCCAACCCAACCTCCAGCCTTTCCACTCTTAGAAGACAACATCGAGTTGAACAATGCAGAGGAACAGGTCCTCCATCCTTACCCTCTCCCCAGTCTATTAGCCATCAGCAAACTGCTGAGGGGAGCAGATCCATTTCCCCACCTCCCCTGTGCTGTGGACTAGTCCACGCTGCCACAAACACCAACACACGCTGCATTTGCCACTCCAGCAGGGTACCTGAATCTGCTGCAGTCTTTCGCCACAGCAGCATTCATCACATCAAAGAAGGTAGAGTCTCGGGGCACATAAAGCAGTACAGTATCATTGGTGAAGGTACTGATATCAGCAGAGATGCTATACAAGACAAAGACTTTGCGTGGTCTGGGGAACAGGCTGAAGTCTTCTGTGTGGGGAGAAGGATAGAGAGGAACAAGTAAAGAAGGGTCACCTCCACACAGCAGGGAGCAAGTCCCCTGCAGGGTACAACGACTCCTTGAAGTCAAGGAGGATATTCAGATCCTGATAGGCATTTGAGGACACAGCTTGATGGGAAAACATCAGGGGAAAGAAAAGGGAAAATACAAAGACAGAGATATGAGCTGTGCAACAGGACTTTACCCACCTTATCACCTGGGATTGAATCTATGGCCTTAAGACAGTGATTCTCAACCTTTTTAGGCTCAAGGCGTCCCTCCATAGCTTTTCTGAATTCCTATTTGAAATATCTGAGATTATCTTGCGAATCTTGTATAAGTGTCTGCACACCCAACAATGCTAATATTATGTAGCACCCTGCCACATCCTTAAAAGGATCTCATAGCCTTTTGGGGTGCCACAATACCTTGGCTGAGAATCACTGGCTCAGATCCATGACTCAGAGTCTTTACTCTTTCAGCTAAAACAAAAGGACCATTGATTTGAAAGACACAGGAGAGCTATAATAATTTACACATTGTAGTCAATAAAGGGAGAGAAAGAACTCCTTTAGCAGGTAGCATCTCACTATTAGCTGTATCTATAGCCTTTCACACCTTCCTTGACACTCAGACTTGGGTGAATTTTTTGGGCTGAAATGTTTTTCAAGAAAAAGAAATATTTGGCAGCACCAAAACATTTATTTTGCAAATTTGGGTTAGTCTTGTTGGGGCAGGGGGGCAGGTTAAGTGCTACCACTTCCTGCCACAAAAAATCCCACTCAGAAAAAAATACTTTGGTTTGCCAATTTTTTTTTTTTAAAAAAACCTCAAAACAAATCTCCCCCTCCAATTCCACCAGTGTTTTAGAGCTGTCAACAAATTGAAAAATCAATACTTTGCACAGCTCTAATTGTACCCCATTGATTTTTCCCTTTTGTCCTCAGCTCCCCTCAAGCTTCTCTTGCATATGCAGGTTTTTTTATTACAGCACCTTTCCAACTGGCAAAATGTGGGCATGATCTACGAGCCCCTCTAGGAGAGGTGGGATAGGAATGTGAAGCTAGAGCTAGACAGGGGCTCATGTTGCCACAGACATGACATCCTGACCCAGAAGTAGCTGCATCATTTACTTCAGTGTGCCTTTTTTCTTCCATGGGCCAGGCATGTAATATTCCATGGCAGGTGCAAGAGGAAATAGAGATGCGAGGGGACAAGGCACCATGGCATGGAAGCCAAAATCAATATGGCTATTATAAATTGCATTCTGAGGATGAGCCTGCCCATCTGATGAGGTGTCCAGAAGGAAAATTCCTTCCTGAGTCACTGAAAGCAGTTTCCATGGAGTCACTATATTAACTCTGTTGTTCCAGTGCTGACTTTTCTCTAGCGCAAAGCAAGAAAAAGAGAACTGTCTCTTTAAATACTAGTTTGCTGAGCTGGGGTGGCTCTCAGCAGAGGTCTGATACCCCTCTCCCTGCCTCTCCCCCTTTCTTCTCCCTTCCCCTCCCTGGATTGATGCTATCGTTGCTGGGTCTGTCCATACCAGTTAATTAAACCTGGAATAGAAAGGCAGGAACCTGGCACAAATTCCCTTTGGGGAAGGGGCTCTAGGGTGAGCAGCATGACTTCAGAGGTATCAGGCCTCCCGTGTTTGCCACCATCTGCATCCCTTCTACTTCTGTGCCTCAGTTTCCCCACATATCAGAGGGAAGGAGTCCCACTGCCCTACAGATGGTCCACTGGCCTCCGATTGTGAGCCCAGCAGGACCTCCACAAAGTACAGGCGTTGAGGACACATGGAGACTAGTGCAGTTCATTCTACTTACCACTGTCTTGGCACAGCCCCCCTGTGGGGAGGACCAGGAGCAGGAAGCCTGCCAGGGGGATTGCCAGAGACTGCATCATTCTTCTGTGACTGTTTTCCCCTCGGTCCAAAACTGATTGTGCTGAACACTGGACCCAGCATTTATTAGCTGGAAGGAGGTGGGAACTCCATGATCTCCTCCCTCCCTGTAGCAGATGAGGGCTGTTGAGCAATGCCATACTGTGGGTGTGCACCACTAGGAAGGCAGGTACACAGAGATGCCAAGGGCCGTAGGGCCCCCGCCTGCCCTTGAGAAGTCTCCACTGCTCCAGGGCAGGGCGCTGCCAGCAGAGGTCTAAATGGACTTTTCCATGCCACATTTCACTTCTTTTCCCCTGAGGTTGAGTTGGTGTCTCTTGATCCATGTCTGCCTCACACCTCATGCCAGGCAGCCTCTGTACAGGTGCTTGGTGCTACCTTAGCAAAGTTGGTGAACTATCACAAAGTCTGCCTTGTCCCTTACTGTTGCTCAAGTCATTGAACAGAGATGGTCCAGCTACAGGGCAGGTTGGAGAAGCACCTGCAGAACTGCTGGAGAGCCCAAGGCTGGGATGGCAGGGGGTGGTGCATCAGGATAGAGGGGTACTGGCAGAGCTGTCGGGGAGCCCTGGGCTTGCATAGCAGGGGACTGTGGCTCAGGAGTGAGGGGCACCTACAGAGCTCAGGGCTGGCACAGCAGAAGGCTTTGTGTTAGGATGGAGGGGCACTGTCTGAGCTGGGTAAATGAGGAACAGGACTGGAGCAAGAGGAGGGACATGGATATGAATTTAAGGGCACTGGCAGAGCTTGTGGAGAGTACAGGGTTATAATACGGAGGACCTCATATTTCAGGAATACAATGACTTCACCTGAAGCAGGGGCTGGTAGTAGTTCTGAATCTCAGACCATTATCTCTCCACATCTGGCACCCCAAACTAGCAGTGATTAAAAAAAAACCCCAACCTAGGCATGAAGTTCTTTACACCTTGTTTTTTTGAACGGGAAGTTGGAATAATGTTCCTTTCTGGCTGTCTGAGAGGGGAAGGGCTGCATATTTCTTCTGCCAAGATGAGAATGGGCTTAAACTGATCAACCCCAACTATTTTCAGCAAAAAAGTGTTGATTCAGCAACTACTATAGCCACAATAATTAACATGAATTAAATTAGCAAGAATAACACTAATAATGATCTGAACAAAAATGGAAATGTCAAAGCATTTTGATTTTCCGATTTTGAGCAACTGTTTAGTTTGTACTTCCCTTACTGTCTGTTAGAAA